TTTTGTGAAGAGGAGGAGGTCTGCAAAGGCATTTCAGAGTTCTATGAGAAGTTGTTCACCGAGTCTATTGGGTGGAGACCTTTGCTTGAAGGGTTTCAATTTGCCTCTCTCTCTAGTGAGGAGTGCTCGGATCTGAAGGAGCCTTTTTCTGAAGAGGAAGTTCTGATTGCTTTGAAGAGCTGTAATGGGGACAAATCCCTAGGTCCAGATGGTTTTACCATGAGATTCCTTCTGGAGTGTTAGGAGGTGGTTAGAGGGGAGTTGATAGGTTCTTTTCATGCTCAGGGCTCTTTTGAGAAGAGTTTGAATGCCACTTTCATTGTTCTTATTCCGAAGAAGAAGAAGGAGGGGGAGGGGGGACATTAGGGATTTTTGCCCTATTAGTTTGGTGGGGTGTTTCTACAAGTTGATTGTCAAAGTCCTTGCTTCAAGGTTAAAGAAAGTCCTGGATGGCGTCATTTCTGATTCTCAGAATGCTTTTGTGGGAGGACATCAAATTTTGGACTCAATTCTTATTGCTAGTGAGTGTGTGGATTCCCGCTTGCGTAGTGAGGTCCTGGCAGTCCTGTGCAAGCTTGACTTGGAGAAGGCGTACGACCATGTGAGTTGGAGTTTCCTTCTTTTACCTGATGGAGAGGATGGGGTTTGGTGTTCGGTGGAGGAGATGGATTCTTTTTTGTATTTCCAGTGCTCGCTTTTCGATTTTTGTGAATGGAGCTCCTACGGGTTTTTTCTCTAGCTCGAGGGGCTTGTGACAGGGGGATCCGCTCTCCCCTTTCTTCTTCCTGTTTGTGATGGAAGTCTGAGCAGATTGATGAGCAGGGCTGTTGAGTTGGGGTTTTTGAGAGGATTTAGGGTGGGCAGGGATGCTGCACCCCAGTTGGAGGTCTCCCATTTGATGTTTGCCGATGACACTTTAGTTCTTTGTGATGCGAACGTGTCCCAGCTTAGATATCTGGGGTGTTCTGATCTGGTTCCAAGTTGTCTCTGGCCTTAGGGTGACTGTTGGAAAGAGCGTTTTGGTGCTGGTGGGAGAGGTCCCTGAGATTGAGTCTTTTGCTGATATTTTTGGTTGTCGTACTGGCTCTTTTCCCATCTCTTACTTAGGGCTGCCCCTGGGGGCTCCTTCGAGATGTGTGGGGGTTTGGGACCCTATAGTGGATAGGTTTGAGAGGAGGTTGGTGGGTTGGAAGAAACAGTATCTTTCCAAGGGAGGCCGGGTCACTCTGATTAAAAGCACCCTTTCTTGCCTTCCTACTTATTTTCTCTCTCTGTTTCAGATTCCCTCTTCAGTTGCGGAGAGGATTGAGAGATTGCAGCGTAACTTTCTGTGGGGGCGGGGGAAGAGGTGAAGAGTTCAAGTTTCATCTGGTTCGTTGGGATCAAGTTTGCAGGCCACTTCGGTTTGGAGGTTTGGGTCTTAGAAGACTGGTGCCTTTTAATATGGCTCTCCTTGGGAAATGGTTGTGGAGGTTTGGAATGGAGAGGCAATGGCTTTGGAGGAGGGTCATTGCGAGTCGTTTTGGGGAGTCTAGAGGAGGGTGGAGTTCTCTGGAGGTGCGTGGTTCTCGGGGTGTGGGGGTTTGGAAGGTCATTTGAAAGGGATGGGATGACTTTGCCAAACACGTTCGTTTTCGAATCAAGGATGGCAGGAGGATCAGTTTTTGGGAGGATGTTTGGTATGGGGATTCTCCTCTGGCTCTCACTTTTCCTCAATTTTTCAGGATTGCTACGGATAGGCAGGCCATGGTGGTCAACTGTTATCATCTTGATAGTGGGAGATTGGTTTGGGATGTTCAATTCAGGCGATTGTTTCAGGACTGGGAGATTGAGGAGGTCATTCGCTTTTTGGAGTTGTTGTATCGCCAAAGGATTGTGGTTGGGGATTTTGATAGTTGGACCTGGGCTGCCAACTCTCAAGGGCGTTTTGAGGTTAGGTCCTTCTTCAGATGTCTCACGGTGAACCTAGAGTTCACTTCCCTTGGAAGGCTGTTTGGCGCTCTAAGGCTTCTCTCAAGGTGGACTTCTTTGCTTAGACCTCTGTTTTGAGAAGGATCTTAACCCAGGATAACTTGAGAAGGAGAAATCAGGTGGTGGTCAATCGTGGCTATATGTGCCTTCGGGATGAGGAAACTGTGGATCACCTTCTCTTCCATTGCACCACGGCCAGAGACTGCTGGGATTTGATGTTTGGCTTGTTTGGGTTTCTTTGGGTTATGCCTGGATCCGTTAGAGGGTTGATTGAGGCTTGGAGAGGGTGCCTTGTGGGGGCTTACATTCAGGATGCTTGGAGGGCTCTATGCCTCTTTGTGTGTGGTGGTGTATTTGGCTTGAGAAGAATAGGAGATATTTTGATGGGAAGGAGATGTTGATTTCTACTCTCAAATTCTCTATTCTTTCCACTCTTTTTTGTTAGGTTTCAGGGAGAGATCATAGATCTTTAGATGAAATTGTCGATTTTGTGGCCTCTTTGAAGGCTTAGAGGTCCTTTGTGGCCTTGTATTTCTCTTTTGGGATTCGCTCCCCTTTTGAGTGCTTTTATAAAATTTTACTTATAAAAAAAAAATAATGAAAAATATCAAAGCCCCACCCCAACTGAAACATGTGTTTGGAAAACTCATTCTACCCCTTCCGAATGAGGTTACAAACTCCCAACCCAACTGAAGATCTCACCTCCTTAGAGGTCCACCCTCCTCTATCCTCTACCCCTTACACATAGTAACTCTTCTCCACAACCTGGACCTCTCCATTCGAAATCTCCAAAACCACTTGCCCAACAAAGCCTGTTCAATAAGCCAACCTCATAAGACGCAACCCCTCTCGGTGAATGAAACTTGAATTCATCCCTCTTTCTGTCCCACATAAAATTCCTTTGCAACTTCTCAAATTCCTCGCAACAGACATCAACATGTGAAATAAAAACAAAAAATATGTTGGAAGGCTGGACAAAGTGCTCTTCAAAGGGTAATTTGGCCCCCCTTTCGATAGATATTGTTTCTTCCAACCAGCAAGTCTCCTCTCATACTACTCCACAACTAGATCCCAAATGAAAGTCCTCGTTAAAGGAGCCCCCAGAGGCAACCCCAAGTAAGAAATCGGGAAGGACCCAACACAACACAACCAAGAATATCGGCCAAAAGGCTCAGTCTGCCCAATCTCCCCCATGGGCATGATTTCACTCTTCCCTATATTGATTTTCATCCCTAATATGGCTTGAAAGCACACCAACATGTACCTCAAACACCTCAACTGCTCCTCCGCCGCAACACAGAACACAATAGTATCGTCTACATAGAGAAGGTAAGTTATCTTCATCTGGTTCAGCAACTCCCTGCCCACTTCTTCTTGTAGTTATCTTCATCATTTAAGCACTTTTAAGGCATAGTTTGCTGTCTTGGCTGTTTTGGAGTGTCTTAGTTTGCTGTCATACTAATCATCAACCTTGTCTATGGCAAGTAATTCCAAAGGACTCCAATCAAAATCTCCCAGGGAATCTTGGCTAGATTCTTTTCAACATGACCTAGAGGCAACTAGGCAAATTCTTGCTGAAATTAACTCACTTGTATGATTATTGAGAGTTAATGCACATGTACAAAGCCAAATTTGAAAGAATAGGAGACAGAGTAGGTGGTTTAAGTTGAGTGTAGCGTGAGAGAGTGAATTCGCAAATGTTGTTCCAACTAAAGGGCGTGGGTTTTTATTTTGGATGATTGGGCCTGTAAACAAAAATTGGGACCAGGATGTGTATATGTGTGTCTCTATTTTGACAAGTTAAATTTGGACCATGGTTTTAAGGTCAATGTGGGTGAATTTGAGGGTTCCCTAAAATCTGATAAGTTCCTTGATTTGGTGCATAAGTTCAAAGTTTTTCTAGGGGAAAGATACTCGATAATATAAGAAAGTCTAGTTTGTTGTTATGAAACTCAAACCCTCTTTCTTCTTTGGTGGGAACAAGCTCAAGGTAATAAGGTTGGCAAGGGCAAGGAAAAGTTAAGGTAATGAGATCACATGAAAGAGAAACATTAGAAATTCCTCCCATTTCAAGAAGTTGTACAACCCGTGATGAAACAATAAATCATTGGATTAGTACATAAAAGTTTTACATGCTCCAAGCCCGAAATGATTATAGAAAGATGAGCAAAGCATAGAGTTTTCTCCATGATTTAGCATGGATGGATGATGCAGTGATATCAAGAGAAGGCTGTGCACTTGAATTAGAAAGTCAGGTGTGAACAATATACTTCGTTTTCTTTACATTTTTCTCCGGGGAAAAAAAGTCCGGTTTCAACAATCTGGAGTTCAAATATGTCTCAGGGTATAACTGAGTTCTATAGAACTGTAAATGCAATTATATTATTAATAGAAGACCTCTGATAAGACTAATGGCCATGCCCCAATATGATTCTGGCTATGTGGATTATTGGGAGGGTTTGCTGGAAGTAGACATAATCTAAGAGATTTGTGAGTCATGGTTCCCCGAACATGACACTTATTTTGGGATAGGGAGAGTATTTTGTACAAACCAGCCCCTTTCATACTCATCAAACCCATAGACTAATGCTTGTCAATGTTAATCATTATGATGGCAATATTCCCTGTTTTTAGTAAGAGATAACAAAAATTTATTTGCTACCTATCGTCACCTTGCAAGTCCCATGTCAGAAATGTTTTCAAAGATATATCGTTGCGGTCAAAACTGTCAGGAACAAAGGTTAACATTATTATTAGGGTGCATCGACTAGACAACCTAAACATGTTGGAGGAACTAGTTTTATCTTCGTTTCTGTATGTCACTTTATATTAAGATTTATTCATGCTAAAGACTCTTGGAAGTGCTGCTATGATCTTTTGCCAGCTCCATGCAGAGGGCAACGATCTTTTCAATTGTCGATCTTGTAGGTTTTCTTTAAAACTGCAAAAGGAAGTTGCGAAATATCTAATGAAATCTTGTTATTTGATTGCCACTAATAAAATTAAGTTTCGACTTTTCAATTGGGCAGGAACAAGGGATATCAATTCTTAATAAAGCAGTTGCAGCCTGCACCACAGAAATAGAGCACCACAAAGGGAAACTAACTGTAAAGGAGGCACCAAGAGCGGTATGCATCAACTGTCTTTAGTTTATTTCAACTTGATTTTGCCTTTTGTCCACAGATCTCTCTCTCTCTCTCTCTCTCTCTCTCTCTCTCTGTTCCAACAGTGGAGAATTCTATGTTTTTGTTTAGAAGTTCCATGAATTTCCTTTTAAGATTCCTTTTACTCAATTCCTTTCTTATCATATTGTTTGGCTTTCTTTATATTTTGTGTCTAACATGGCACTTGAATTAGGTGAGTGAACGGGAGGATAAACGACTTGCTGAACACATGGCTAAGCTATACCGTGAGAACACAGAGGTTAGTGGCGATGAAGAAAGTGAAGAGGACGATACGGGGTTGGGAGATGTTGATGTAGAGAGCCGGAGTTCTCAAATGACAGAATAAAAATGTGGCGGCATGGTCAATGACTTCAAAATTTCTCTTTTTGTTTTTTGTAACATGTTTTTGTTTTTGTCCAACCTGTCATATTGTAACATTTTCTTTGTCATCTGAACTGCCATATAAAAACAATACAGTATCCAACTCATCGAAACAGTGCTAAACATTTTGTAGTTATATGTTGAGAATGCAGTTTTTCAGGAGAGCTTGTTCCTATGCTACTTTCTTAGGGCCCGTTTACTCACGCTTTCACTTTCTTGCTTTTGCTTTCTACAAAAGTAAAATTATAATTTTGATTTCTTAAAAGGAAATAGAAAGTGAAATTATGTTTAGTAATATCTCATGTTTATTAAAATTTTGCAAGCAAAATTACAAAATAAAGTTTAATAATTATAATTTTGCTTTTGTTTTTTACCATTACTGTGCACCCAGTTTTTTCTATTTTCTTCACGTGCATGCCCAGTTCTATCATCTGCCAATCCCCATCCCCATCCCCAATCCCCAGCAATCAAACATTGCAAAGTAGGCCTCATAAAAGGCATCAAAACAGCCGATTTCATACTCTTTAACCCTGCTGTGAGAGGCAGATAACTTGTCTTAAAAGCCACGGGAATTGCGCCATAGAGGAAGAATGGTCGGTTGTGTAAAAGGTAGATAAGCTTGGGAGTTCTGCCAGTGGTAATTCCGAGAACGAGGTTAGGGAGAGAGTAGGGGGAGCTGTTGAAACTTTGAGGCTCAATAGCTAAATACATGGCAATTGAATCATCAGTCGAGATCATAAAGAGCATACTGTGAGTAGACCATCCCCAGTTCAGTTTAGGTTCGAAATTGCTCCAATCAGAGCGTAAAAAAAAAAAAAAAAAAAAAAAAAAAAAAAAAAAAAAAAAAAAACTCAACCCATTATCATCAAACCAGAAATCTCAACCCATTATCATCAAACCAGATCTCAACCCATTATTTTCAAACCCAAAACTTTCACCGAAACCCCTTTGCCGCAACAACCACGTTAGTTAGTCTAGGCGTCATAACACGATCATAGCTTGGATGAGCTTTTTGCCGTTGTTGTCACTGTGGAATCTTTCATCATCGTATTTGTTGTTGTTGTGTGCCTAACTCTTTGATTTTGTGCTAAGGATTCAATGGTAAGAAAACAAAGGGCGGAAGAGGGGGGATTTTGTCCTGAGGATGAGAGAGAGAAAAAAAAATTTAGATTTGAGGAAAGCATAACTTATTTAAGTCCCATCATCGCCAATATGGTGGTCGCCGGTGATGCCGATTGAAGAATCATCTTTGTCGGAGTTGCCCATTTGGTGGCCATCGTGCGTACATAGGAGAGACAATAGTGAGTCTTGTTATAAACAGCCGGACAGAGCATCGTTTAAGTTCCGCTACAGTAGTGGAAGTAATTCCTCCGCTACAGTGGAGAAAACAAGAAAGTGAGGATTTCTCACTTTTCCTTCCCTTCACAAAATTAGATTATACTTTCTTAAAACAAAAAAGTAAAAATATTTTATTACACATGATTTTTTACTTTTGATTCTTAATTTTAGAAATTGATAGTAAAAATCAGGAATCATTCCTGTTAGTAAACAGGCCCTTAGTGGGTTCTTTTGCTGATTTTTATTTGTTCATGATGCTGGTTTATGGGTAAAGGCACTTCATGTTGTAAATTTTTTTTGGGCTGAATCCCGCTTTGTTTGGAACCAAATCTTTTGGGATTTGAAATTGGAATTAGAAAAGAAAATGGATTGTAATTAAAATAGGATTCTTATTTGGAATTTATAAAAAGGAATTTGAAATAAAATAGTTTTTATACTATTTAGGGATAAAAATATGTGGCAGTTACAAAGGAGGTTGGTAGAATGAGAAATCTAAAAGTAGTTAATAGAAGGATAATTTTTGTATTACATACCAAATCCCTTTAAATTAGGGATGCAACTTAGGTTGGGTAACCCGAACCCAATCCGAGCCTAGCTCGATTTTTCATGAGTTTGGGCAATCATTTTTACAATTAGGGTTGGGCTTGGGTTGAAAAGCAAGCAACCCGAGCAAACTCGAACCCGAATTCTAATATTATTTTCATATATATTTTTACTTTTAAATACATTATATATAATATTTAAACTATGATTATTTTTTTTTTCTTTTCAACTTTTTTTGTTAAATATTAACTTATTGTATGTTAACATTTAGGGCCCATTTGGAAAGTGTTGTGTTTTGTTTTAGCCTAGAACAGAACAAGTGTTTTGTAATGTGGTATTTTGAAATGAGAACAAAACATGTTTGGGACGAAAATTTGGAGTGAGAATTTTGGAATAGAAATTAAATTTTTTTTTGGATGATTAAAATAAATTAATTACAAAGCTTGATTAGTTTGCAAAACAAGAATTACAGAGCTTGATTAGTTGATTTAGGAAAAAAATTAAAACAAAACCCATACACACAGGTTAGCAGTTGCAGAGAGAGAGAGGGGGGCAAACTTGAGAGTTGAGAGAGCGGCTGAAGCTTGCGAACGGAGAACTAGAATTGGAACAGCGGTCGATGGAAATTGAAAGATATGGGTTTTGATTTTTTGAACAATCTGAAATGATATGCCGATATGGGGGTTTAGATATAGGTAATAGGTTTTGAACTTTTGATTCTTGCAGACACTTACATAAACTAATTTTTAGGGAAAATATTACCTAAATTATAGAGAAGCTGTTGCTATAAAACAGAACTGGACTATTCTGCAAATCAACAGAAAATTAAGCTGAGTTCAAGCTTAAAATCCACAAATCAACAAGAAAACAACACAAAAAAGCAGAAATAAAACAACATTTCAAAGATTGGTAGAGAAATTAAGTTAAAAATGTTTACTTTCACTTGAAAATTTTCAAAATCAGCTCAGAGAGTGTAGAAATCAGAGGTAAAAAAAAGAGAGCTTGAAACCAAGCTCTCTTTGGAACAGCTCAAATAACACACCTGAGACTTCACAAATAACAAGAGGAGAACAAAGCCCTAAAAAGCAGACTCTGTCAATGGCATAAATTAGAGAGAGAAGGTGAAGAGATTCTAGAGAGATTGAGATTTAGAGAGAGAGAGAGTGGGAGAAAGATTTTAAGTTGAGAGATACATAAACTGAAATATATGGGTTTCGACCTTCTGATTCTTGTAGATTTTGTAGTTTGCAGTTGCAGAGAGAGAGAGAGAGGGCAAGTTCAGAGTTAAGAACGAGAATAGAGATGGAGGCGGGTTTTGAACTTCTGATCCTTGTAGATTTTGTAGTTTGCAATTGCAGAGAGAAAGAGAGAGAGAGACTAGGGCAATTGGGAGGCTGAAATGATTTGCCCTAAAAATGGATTTGCAGAGTTGAGAACAAGAATAGAGATGGAGGCGTTTGGGAGGCTGAAATGATTTGCCCTAAAAAAAAATTATTATTACCCCAGCTATAGTAAAAAATGAGCCTAGAACAACATAGAACACCAAATTTTTGTTCCAGCTTTTGGGCCAAATAATGGATTTGTTTTGAAAGTGTTCTGGTACTGTTGAAAACAAAACAAGCCGGCCCAAACATATTTTGTTCTCAAAATGGGCTATTGTAGCGGGCCTGGAGCATTACAAAATACATGAGAACACTTCCCAAACAGGCCTTAGGATAATTTATTTTCTAAAAATTTGTTTGTAATTTATTAAAAATCTACAAAAAGTCTTTAAACTTCTTCTTGTTTAAGAGTAATTTAATCTAAAACAAATTCAAGATCATATTAAATTTTCTATAAAGATTAGCCATATGAGCAACCCGAATTAACTCAAAGTTTTAACCCGGAATATAAGCCCGAGTTGCAAGCTCGAATTTAAAAGTACAAAGGATGGGGTGGGCTAGGGTTGAGTAGTTAAGGTTGAGAATAGGGTTAGGGTTGGGCTTGGTTTTAGCATTTCGTATAGTGGGTTGGGCTTAAGTTATACCTCAAACTCGCCTGGTACGGTGCTGTCATGACACCCCAAATTGCATATAAAGTGTGGCCAAGTTTGAATTTATAAAATGCCACTACTACCTTTAACTACTAATATAGCTAGGGTGAGTAGGGATCGTCCCAAGGGATCGGATGCGTATTTGAAATGGAAATAAGGTCGGATTAGCAGGTCGAGTGATCAAAAGATTGGTTTGATTGGTTAATTAAACGACAATGTAAACAAATTCAATACAAAGCAATTAAAGTAAATAAAGGGTAGAGAACAAGAGAGAGGGATCTTGGGAATTAGAGGTTACCACTAAACATCACCTTTCTAGATACTCAATGTGTAATGAATGAGGGGAAATATGTGTTGCAATACTAAGAGATGTGATTGATTGAATCAACAAGCATGGATGACTAATTAAGTATACATTGTCTAAACAACCTAATGAATAACACAATATATCAAACTAAGCCATTATTTCTTCCTTTAAGCTCACAATCAAAACACATTAACAAGTTAAAGAATTATACTACTTGCATTCATAAGCATGGAACATCAAACAACAAGCATGGATTGTCCTCACATCTAAGAAAGTAAAACAACTACACTACAACTAAGCTAAGGACATGAAAATTAAACTAATTAAACTAAGGTAGAGGCACAATCCATCAAGAAATGAATATGAACCATCAAACAAACCACAAGAGTATTCCATTTAAGCACTATGCCTTGACAATCTCTAGATTCATAGCATCAACACACATAGACATGCATCAATAACACAAAACCTAAAGATAAACACATGAACATCTATTCTAGCATACATAGACATATGAGTAGAATAAAATGATCAATTGGAAGTATTAAACAACACAAATCATTGTAGAAACAAGATTCATGTATAAATCAAATGTCAAGACAAGATTATAACGCAAATCCCCTCAAAATACAAAGCATCAAGATCTAGAAGGCATGCTTTGGGCTAACTCTAGCCCCAAGAAGATGTTTAGCCACTCATTGATGTAGTCATCCAACCCTCAGGGGTCATCTCCATGGTAGGAATGATCTTCTTCTTGATGGAAACCCTATATGAATGGAAGAACTCCCAAATGGTGTATATTTCTCTAATTTCTAGCCTCTTCTCAAGATTGTGTAATTGTCTATTCTTCTCTATGTGTAAAATGGCTCAAAATCTTTATATAGGTAGCTCAAGTATCATACCCAATGGTTAGGTCTCGTGTACTAGGGCCATTTCAAT